ATCTATGAATCTATGAATCTATGAAACGCGCCTGGAGAGAACGTTCCCATGCGCCAGAATTCACCGTTCTGGGATTGCCCCATTTCAACCGGTGGTCTGCCCCACTGAATGACTGCTACGGCCCCTGCTGCGCATTTATTCAGCAGCCCTCCATGGGCTGCCCTCACCTTCTCATCCTCCAGGTACTCGATATCAGCAGTGTTGTAGCCGTCCCTGTGTCCCCGTCTCAGCACCCGGAACCGACGCCTTCCTATCGTGTCCACCAGGGATCGCCCGTCAGCCAAGAACTCTATGTGCTGAATCTCCAACATGCAGCCGTAGTCCGCGAAACTGGAGCGGATGAGAAGGGAGTGGGGGGGAGGGAGCGTAGGCATGAGAGCAATGAGAGAGCATCTTTCCACACAAAAAAAGAAGAAAACGCCCCAGTAACTGGCTGGATGAAGGCCCCACGCACACAGAAGATCCCTGCCAATCTGTAATACCCTCCACTAAGCCAGATACATCTGCAAGGGAGTGATTCCTCCAGCGTCCAGGACACCAAATTATGTCCAAGCTACGCTACCGGGGACTACGGCTATATTTTACTCAGGGCTCCCCACATCATTGGTGGAGCCCTGAGCATCTCTGACCCTTGTGACCCAGGTGGGCAGTCCACAAGCTTCCCGCCAGCAGGGAGGGGTTTTATCTTTTGGAGCCTGTCAGTGCTGCTCTGAAAGGAACTATAGAACTATAACGGGGTTTAAAAGAGAACTGGATAAATTCATGGAGGTTAAGTCCATTAATGGCTATTAGCCACAATGGGTAAGGAATGGTGTCCCTAGCCTCTGTTTGTTTGTCAGATGATGGAGATGGATGGCAGGAGAGAGATCACTTGATCATTACCTGTTAGGTTCACTCCCTCTGAGGCACCTGGCATTGGCCACTGTCGGCAGACAGGATACTGGGCTAGATGGACCTTTGGTCTGACCCAGTACGGTCACTCTTATGTTCTAACTAGAGAGGCGCCTCTTGGAGGAACTGTGGGGCTTCTTTTCCCCACCCTCCAAACTCCCTTCACTGTGGGGTCATTCTCCTAACAGGGTTTCCAACAGATATGCTGGTAGAGTTTTAGACCACAGCACTGCTGCAACTGGCCCTAACCACTGGACCATCTTTCTTCCAGCATTGACTGGCCCCTCGTGGACATCACAGGGCCCCTAGACTGACAGCTACTATTTTGGAAGACAAAGACACAGGAATTGACATGGCTACAGCAAAAGGTGGGGTAGTTGATAGGTCTGAGAGGATGATGGGTGGGTAGCAGGAGGAGGGAGTTACAGATGGAGGGATGAGAACGCAGCTGCAGTTGGTGCCTTGGTCTGTCGCTCACCTCTTCCCATTCTCATACATACACATGCCAAACATCTTCGTGCCGGTCTCCTGGCACCTCCGCATCATGAGACGGTAGCGAGGTTCAAAGACGTGCAGTGGGCACGAGATGCCCGGGAAAGACATGGTGCACACGAAGATGGGGATGTTCTTGGTCAGGCTGCAGGGAAGGGGATGACAAGAAAGAAATTCTCGGTCACTTTGAAACTTCACCCCTTTTCCGTGCGGACATGGCAAGAGCAGCACATGGAAAAGCGGAGGACACCACGTCTCAAGGAGTCAATTTATATTTAGCAGGACCTGGCCATTCTCACAAACCAGCTCTTTAATATTGCATTCCGCCAAGAGGAAACATGAAGAAACAATGCTCTGGCCTCGCAGAACAGTAAATCATCGCCTCAGATTATCCAGGGAGTATAACTCTGCCAATGAAGCAATCCAGCTGATCTGATATGGAGGCCCAGTGGCAAGAACCCCACCAACCCACCAGGCAGCAGCTTCTCAGTGGGATCTTCTCTGTTCTCTGAAGGCCCCATTGAGACTGAAGGTCTCCCCGGCCACATTACGGTACGTGCACATACACTCGCTCTCCCGCCCCCTCTCCCCCGCGCACATACACACACATATTGAAGACGTTCTTTGTTTACTTTGAGAGCTCTGCCATCTCAGCCTCATGCACCCGTTTTCTGTCTGCCAGCTGCGAGGGAAAGGTGGCCACCATGATCTCCACCAGCAGCACGGTGGGGTTGTACTTCCCAGCCTTCAAATACTGGAAGAAAGAGAAAGAGAAAGAGAAAGACGTACAACCTTGGACAAAAACATTCAGGGAAGTCCAGGGGCCCAACTGAAGCTGGGAACTATCCCCACCCCTCATGGAGCCAAAGGCAATTTCAGATCAAAGAATGGCAAGGAGAGAGCCCAAAATCTTCTCCCAGTGACGTGGGCTCCTCCCATTCCAGCTCTAGGAGGGTTTCCCACAGATGTAATAGGATTAGGTGTTATAGGAAAGGAATTGCCAGAGTGGATCAGACCTATGGTCCATTTAGTCTAGTATCCTGTCTCTGCGAGTGGCCAATATCGGATGCTTCCGAGGAAGGTGCACGAAACCCCTGAGATAATTTGCTTCATGATGGTCTCCTCTTAATCCCTGTCATTTAGAGATTCTCCTAATCCCGGAGGCATGAGGTTTTAATCCCCTTCCATTTTTGTTAGTCTTCACTATTATAACCCTAGATGCATATAAATGCGCAGTTCCTCTGTGAATCTAGCTAAATTCTTGGCCTCAACTAGTCCTGTGGCGATGAGTTCCTCAGTCTAATTGCACGTGGTGTGAAAAAGTAGGATATGATCACACGTACAGGTGCAGACCCAGGACCCCATCTGGCAGAGAACACTGCTTGCCAACGTACAGCACAGCCCTACTCTTACACCCTCCTACCTTGGCCAATATTGCCACTGCGAGGGGTGCACACCCTTCCAGTCCTGCTGCTTTGCCAGCTGGAGCGTGCTAACGGCAGTGCTCCGATCTCCCTTCTGCTCCAACCCACAGAGTCACCAGAGGCTTCCTCTTACCTCTCTCAGGCTCTGTTTGCAGAGTGGGCAGTTGGGCCTGTGGTCTAGACTGCGCTCCAGGCACTCCTTGCAGAAGGTGTGGCCGCAGGGCGTGGTCACTGGCTCAAAGAACATCCTGTGGAACAACGGGCACAAGGGTGAGCAAACCAAAGGAAGGAGGGTGGAAGAGGGGTGCGTGGAGTTAGTTACAGGCCACGATTTGGCCTTAGAAGAGGTGAAAGCCCAGGAAGGAGAGCAGAGGAGAGCAGGCCCCCCCAGGTAACTGGGTCCCAGTCTAGTTAAGGTTTCGTATGCCAGCAAAGTGCGTCTGCTCTCTGGGCAGCCAGTGCAAAGGATGCGTGGGAGGTTCGCGAATGCACACCTTGAGCTGCTGCGATCTGCCCCAGCTGCAAGCGAGGGCACTGCTTTGCTGGCAGCCGTGGCAGATGGAGTTACCATGCCCTGGCAGCCAACGGACCAGGGTGTTGAGGGGCAGCGGTGCAGCCACTGCTGGAGAACGGAGATCGAGTTCTACGCTGCTCACAAACCCACCAGAGGTGCACCTTGGCCACCACTGACCCATGGCTCTCCGTAGCCAGAGCTCAAGAAGGACCCACCACGCTCTTAACAGCTCCAGCTGTGCCCTATGGCACCTAGGACTCACCTGCTATGCGACCTGTCAGGATGCTTTACTGGGGACCTGGCAGAGGCTGGAGCCAACACCCCGGAAAGGGGACAAGCACTTTACTGGGGATCTGCTTGTTAGTTTGTTCTATGAATGACTCTCACTGCTGGGGGAGGGAGGGAGGCTCTTAGAGCTAGAGAAGAAGGATGGCCACTGGTTAGAGCACTAGCGGACACCTGAGTTCAAGTACTGCCCTGCCATCGGCCTCTTGGGTGAGTCACAAAGTCATATAAACCCAGAAGGGACCATTAGATCTAGTCTGACCGCCCCCGTATCACAGGCCATTAACTTGCCCCCAAATCCCCCTATGTCGAGCCCAGTGATTTCCCTTAAACTAAAGCATTTCAGTCCTCAGGAGACTAAACTGCTGTGTGCCACAGGTATCAAGTACAAGCGAGACAGAGATCCCACCGATGCCCTGCAATGGCAGGGAACTGAGTAGGTGAGACAGAGCTTCATGAGCCCAGCAGGGGAACCAGCCTCATGTTGCAGAGGAAGGTGAAAAACTCCCAAGGTCCCAGCCAGCCAGCGGGGGCAGACTCCTTCCTGACCCTGACTAGGGCGACCAGTTAAACCTTGAGCATATGAGCAAGACCCACCAGCCAGGCATCTAAGACAGACAATTGTTTGTACCAGCTCAGAGCACCAGTCCACCCCGGCCAGTATCATGTCTCATCTTTGATGCTTCAGAGGAAGTTGGGGAGAAAAAAGATTCAAAGTGTATGTTGGGGGGGGGCGGGATTCCTTCCTGCCCCCTGCAAGTGATTGGCTGAAGCCCTGAAGCATGAGATTAGACTACAGTCATTATCACACTGTTAGGAGCATGTTGAAGCCAATGCAGACAAACCCGTTCTCTTCCTAGTCGATGAAGGAAGGGGCTGAACAAGGGGAAGCACAGATTCACAGTCAGTCTATCTGCCTCAGTCGTCCAGAGGGATTTAGAGTAGCAGCCGTGTTAGTCTGTATTCGCAAAAAGAACAGGAGTACTTGTGGCACCTTAGAGACTAACAAATTTATTAGAGCATAAGCTTTCGTGGACTACAACCCACTTATGC